AATACAGGACCAGCCCAACCATCTTAACAATATGTAAGGAACAGATCAGTAATGTTAAGTATATTCACATTGTTGTGAAACAGAGCTCCAAAACTTTTCATCTTGTAAAATTGAAACTCCACTCATTAAACATGAACTCACATTTTTTCATCTTCTTCCAGCCCCTGGTAACAACCATTATACTCTCTATAGATTTTTAAAAAATGTTTAATGATGAATACATAGGTGGAAAACACAATGAAAAAAGGGAAGAAAATTGATCAGGATATGGGATAGTTCAAAGGAGCAGGAAGATGATGGTGGTAACTAAGGAATGAAGCAGAAGTTCTGGGAAAAAAGAGAGAGTACACATATCCTCTGGCCATTAAAAACAAAAAGATAGAAGATGATCAGTAGTCAAAAAGATGTTTCTGAAATGCATACTAATATTATATTAATTTTGTGAAAAAGGAAGTCCTTGATAACAAAGGAGTCAATAGAATGTAGAAAAACTGGGGTAGGATTTAGAATTGAATGATTGGTGAAAAGTAAGAGAACTTTTAATGCAGATAAAATAAAGACAAAAACTGTGAAATTTAGCAATGTATGTAGCATATATCTCTATTTTTAATTTGTTTTTAATAGTTTGAATACAATAATTACCTATGTATAAGTCTTACCTAAAAACAATGAAAGCATAAATAATTGAGGTAGCATGCTTTGAAATTCTTTACTTATACCTAATCATCCATTTTTAAATAACTGCAAAATGTAACTACTTTATATAATATACATCAGGACACTAAGTTCTACATCAGGGTAAATTTGGAATAAATGTCAGTGATTTAAAGATAATAGCATACTGGGGACCAGGAGTTAGTATAATGGCTATGTCTCTGGACTTCCATGTAGTCGACCACGGTTCGAGTCCTGGACCTGGAGGCTTAAACTCACGCCAGGCATGTGTGCGTGCGTGCAAGATCCAGAGAGGAGAATGGAGGAGAAGGGATGGTGGTGTGGCCCTCCCGCCGAAGAGGATGATTTCTAACTTTCGTCTCTGTGTCTCTTTCTGTACTTCTGGCGAGTGCACACTCCCTACAGAAAAATCTCTTAAAAAAAAAAAGATAATAGCATACTTTGAAAGCAAAGGTTAATACTTGATGACTCTTCTCTGATATCAAAAGTAAAATAAAATAGCCTCTTTAGGCATTACAATACAAAAGAACATAAAAATACTGTCACCTTTAGGCTCTATAAATGTTAAACTTATTAGCCATTTTTTCCATTTAACAGGAACCAACACATCAAGCGAAGTCACTGGATTCAACTTGGGAGCTATGAAAAATTGAAAACAAAAGGACATTACTAATATTCATCAAAATATCATGCACATCCTCTTTTCTAAATTCTATAGCTTAATCATTTCTTTAAATAATGGCAGATATTAGATAAATTGGAAAAAAAGATTTAATGAAAAGCAAGATTCTATAAAAAATGAGAAGTAGCTTATTAAACTTAAGAAAAACATTTTCTTGATTAGACATATAATGCATGTCAATAGAGCTGAGACTATTAAGTTTTCAAAAGAGTCATTATGAAGTTAAAGATGGAAGTGAATATTGAACCCTAAGATTGTTTATTCTAGGCAATACCAATGAGATTTCACAAGGCTGATGAGATTTCACATGAATGTTCTCAGCTGCACAGCATCTGAGTTTCTGAACAGACTGAGAAGATGGGCAAGTCAGAGATGAAAAACCATACATCATTAACTACATTAATACTTCTGGGACTGACAGATAATCCTCAAATGCAGGTTCTGATTTTTATATTTCTGCTTGTCACCTATACCTTGAGTATAACTGGGAATCTGATTATCATTACACTCACTTTTGTGGATTCAAACCTTAAAACCGCTATGTACTTTTTCCTCAAAAATTTCTCTTTCTTAGAAACTTTATTCACCACAGTCTGTATTCCCAGATTCCTATATAGCTTGTCCACTGGAGACAAGACCATTACTTACAATGTTTGTGCTTGTCAACTATTTTTTGTAATATTACTTGGAGCAACAGAAATTTTTCTCCTGGCCATCATTTCCTATGACCGCTATGTGGCCATCTGCAAACCCTTGCATTATGTAACCATCATGAATAACAGAGGATGGCTTGTTATTGGCTGTTGGATAGCAGGTTTGTTGGTCATACTCCCTCCCCTTAGCCTGGGATTAAAGTTGGAATTCTGTGACTGTAACATCATGGATCATTTTCTCTGTGATGTTTCTCCTATACTAAAGATCTCTTGCTCAGACACACTCTTCATAGAACAGATGGCTATAGGCCATGCTGTGCTGACCCTCGTCTTGACACTTCTGTGCATAGCTTTGTCCTACATATATATCATTAAGACCATCATGAAGTTTCCTTCTGTCCAGCAAAGAATGAAGGCCTTTTCTACCTGCTCTTCCCACATGATTGTTGTTTCCATGACATACGGTGGTTGTATTTTCATTTATATCAAACCTTCAGCAAAGGATGAGGTAGCAATTAATAAAGGTGTGTCGATGCTTACTACTTCAGTTGCACCAATGTTAAATCCATTTATTTATACCCTTAGGAACAAGCAAGTGAAACAAGCTTTTCTAGACTTAATCAAAAGAATGCCGTTGATCTCAAAGAAGTAAAAGGAATGTTGAAGGTTAGCATTCAAATTATCACAATAAATAAAGAGAAATTATGGATTCTAATTATATATATTATCCTCTTCACTAGAATGTATATACTAT